CTGCAGAACACTTAGGTTTGCATTAGCGTTTTCTGATGGAAAACTCTTTAGTCAGCATCCAGCTCTAATCCGAAGCGATTGTGAAGTATAACAGGGGAACCGCTAAGGGGGACCGCAAAGCAGCCCCATGTCTCCAGGCAGTGTAATAACATCCGCTCCTTCCTTCTCTCAGACATTCCTTCTCTGACTGGTGAAAAAACAACGGTTCACTCACGGGCTGGAGAGAACGTCACCCTCAACTGCAAAGTCAAGCTACTGCCAGAGCTGCAGATGCAGAACCTCCGGATCCACTGGCACGTCTTCCGAGAAGGGGAGGGCTCTGTGGTGCACAGCTACTACGCTGGGGCCGACAGGCTGCAGGACCAGGCTGGAGAGTTCCAGGGTCGGACCCATCTCTCTCTGAGAACGCTCAGCCAGGGGTGGGTTTCCCTGGGCCTCACCAATGTGCAGCCAGCGGACAGCGGGGAGTACCGGTGCATTGTCGTTGACACTCACTATGCAGTCACGGGCGACGTCATTCTCCAAGTATCAGGTAAGCGTGTTTTTCACCAGACACTGAAGCGGTGATAATATGGTAAGGTCCCCAGAGAGATTTACAGTCTGGCTGCCTCTTGGATGGGGGAGTCTCTGGAATGGGAAGGGAGGCTGCTGTGGATTTGTCCTGTCTGGGACCAGTCTGAGCGGCCAGGAGGGCTCTGCTATAGCATCCATGTGCTACGTATGCTGAGGTTGGGCTATGCCATGGAGCCACAGGATCAGTGCTACACCCCCGTCTGTAGGAGGAACCCCTTCTATGTGCCAGACCCCCAAGGGGCCATGCTCCTTCTCTAGGGTTTGCCACACAGCCTCATCACCTCCTCAGACTGAATCTCTGGGCTCCAGCATCCCTGCTTCACACCATCTGTCAGCTCTGTTCAACGAGCCCAGCTGAGGTGATGTCCTGGGGGAGAGGTGTGAACTCCGCAGGGATTCAAGTATTGGGGGTAGCCATGTTAGTCTGTATCCACAAAAACAACAAGGAGTCCGGTGGCACCTTAAAGACTAACAGATTTTTTTGGGCATAAGATTTCATGGGTAAAAAACCCACTTCTTCAGATATCTTCAGACCCTCAGGTAACATGGGTGGGTGTCAGTCTGCTCTTTAAGGACCCAGATAGTTCTGTGACACTGTCACGGACTCACAGATCGTGCCCACTCTTGGCCCCGTGCGGTCCGTGGGGGGTGCCCCTTCCAGTGAGACAGCCCTTCCTGGGGGTCCACTCTCTCTCGGGGTCAGGCCCCTCCGCCTCCTGGAGCCGCATCTCTCTGAGCCTTAGCAGAAATGGTTACTCACGGGGTCTGGGGCCTGCATAGGGGTGGGTGCAGACGCTTCCATACCCCCCCGCGGGGGGGACGACTGATGGTGGCCTCCGGTACTCGGGGCTCTGAGTGGGCTGAGCGGGAGGCCGCAGGTGGAACCCCTTGGTTCCACAGGGAGTCCCCGTGCACCCTGACTCTGGCCATCCTGCAGTTTTTTGTTTTGTTTTTTTGCTTCGCCGCTCCGGCCCCCCCAAAGTTTTTTTTTTTTGCTTGGGGCGGCAAAAAAGCCAGATTCAGCCCTGGTCCCACGCTCACCCAGCGGATTGAGTATGGGCGCTCCAGACCTGGGGCCCCACCTTCCCCTGCTGGCCTGGCCTGACGGTCCCCTCCCCCTGGCACAGCCCTCTCGCCTGAGGCCCCCTGGACCGGCAGTGCCCCCTCCCGGTGGGCTTCCACCCAGTTAACCCCCCGCGGGTTCTGCTTGGCCGCCATTTCCTTCATCTTCAGGCACTGTGCCACCTTGTGCCCCTTTTGGCCACAGTAATTACACCTCATGTCCCTCAAGTCCCACGAGGGGGGTCGCCCCGCCCCAGCAGTCCCGGGCACCCCTGAGTTGGGCTTCCTGGAGTCCCACCTTGGAGAGGGCTCGGGGTGATTCCCCCTCTGAGTCCCCGATGTGGGTCTCCCTCTGCCCCCGATCTGCTGTCCACGAACTCATCTGCCAGCGCCCCTGCACTGCGCAGATCTTTGGGTTTCCGGTCCACTAGCCACATCTTAAGGTCCGGAGGGCAGATGTCATACAGCTGCTCCAACCCCACCAGGTTATACACGTCCTCTGCGGTAGTGGCCCCTGCGCCCTTCCCCCACTTGCGGAGATATTCCCCCAGCAGGTTGGTGACCTCCTTGTAGGTGACACTTGGGGTCTTGCGCACACCCCGGAATCATTTTCTGTATGCCTCAGGGGTCAGTTCAAACTTCAGCAGCAAAGCCTGTTTGAACAGGTCATAGTCCTCCGTCTCAACCCCATCCATTTGGCTGAACGCCTGTATGGCTTTGGGACCCAGCCAGGGGGTCAGACATCGGAGCCTGTCTGCGGGGTCAATCTGGTTCAGTTCACAAGCCTTCTCAAAGGCTGTGAGGTAGGCATCAATATCCCCCCCCCCCCCCCTCGAACTGGGGCAGCAGTTTGGTGTCTAAACTCCCCCCAACACTGGCGTCTCGGGGCCCTTCCCCACTTACCCCGCGGCAGGCCCTCTTGGCCCGCCGCTCGTCCATCTCCAACTCGTGCTTCCGCTGTTCTACACGGTCCGCTCGTTCTCTCTCTCTGTACACCAGCCTCCGATCCTCCAGCTCCAGCTCCTTTGCTTTCAGCTGCAGCTCCAATCTCCGCAGCTCCTCGAGGGAGGAACCTGTCTGGGGTCTCCCTGTACTGACTGGGGAGTCAGGTCTGACACACTTCCGGTCGCTACACAGACTGCCCCCACGGCTACTCCCCGGCTCTCCGGACACCCCGGGAGCCCCCCTGGGGTCTGGAGCCTGCGCCTCAGACAGGTCATTCTCTACAAGCTGAGCAATCAGCCACTCCTTAGTGAGCCTCCCCACGCTCAGCTCCCTCTCCCTGCAGAGACGTGCAGGGTCGCTCTTACGGAGCTGGTTCTAGGCCATTTCCAGGCTGGTTCCGTTCAATACCCTCATTCTATCGCTGGCAGCCACTCACTGCAAAGCGCCTGCGCCCGCAGCCAACGTCTACAGGGTGCATCCACGAACCATCCCACTTCTGACACCACGTTGTCACGGACTCATAGATCGTGCCCACTCTTGGCCCCGTGCGGTCCATGGGGGGTGCCCCTTTCAGTGAGACAGCCCTTCTCGGGGGCCCACTCTCTCCCGGGGTCAGGCCCCTCCACCTCCTGGAGCCGCACCTCTCCGAGCCTTAGCACACCTGTTTCTCGCCGTGGGCACCCTCAGGGAGTCCACTCGCTCTGGACCCCCCCGGGCCTCCGCCCCTGAAGGGGTTGATGCAACCCTGTCCTCTAGACCGGAGCGACTCTCAGCCAGCGTAAAACAGGAGGGTTTATTGAGGGTTGAACACAGCACAGGAAACTCTCAGGGCCACAGGCCTGGCCTCCATCAGCCCAGCACATCCCAGTCTCTCTGCATCCAGGTGGGATCTGCCTGCTCCCCCTCTCCAGCCCAGAGCCCCCCTGCTTCCCAGCTGGGCATCTGATGTTACCAGCCCCAAGCCCCCTCTGTCCATTGTCTTCTCTCCAGGTAAACAGGGTCGTAAACAGAGTGGCCTGGGCCTCCTCTCCTCTCAGCCCTCCTTTGGCCCCCTCTGGCTGAAACAGGCTGGTCAGGTCACCGGGGTCCTCTCTCCGCAGCCCATTGTCCTCCCACTGGCCAGAACCGGCTGCGATTCCTGAGCTGGGTCTCCGGGTCGTCAGGTCACCAGTCGCTGGGGCCATTGGCTCCATCCTCCAGGCCATTGGCTGGGGTCCCACGTTCCCTCTCCGGTCCTCTGTAACAACAAACTCCCTGTTCCCTCACCTCGTTAAGCCAGTAACACCCGGGGACACTGAGTCCCACTCCCTCTGAATTCAACCCACTGGAAAACACGGAAAAAAACAAGAAAATCCCCCACTTCGTGACAGACACACACACCTCACATCCCCATTTCTGCTCCAGGAGCAGCTTCTGCACACCCTGGGTAGCTGTGCAAAGTACAGCGAGAAACAGAGACACGCATAGGAATAAAAAAATATCACAGACAATTCCCACTTCTGTAATGGGATATGGCAGCAGGAAGTATATTCAGTACTAAAATATAATAAAAAGTAAGTGGTGAGGGAGTGTTTCCTGCGCAGTTCTATCTGTCCGGTAACCCACTGTTTGCTCATCACATGAGGATTCACAAGGCTCTGCCTCAGGGTGGTTCTCTTGCTTTTCAGTGCCGTATGAAACCCCACAGATCAGCGTTCTTTACCGGGATGGCAATGAGGTTCGCTGGCAGTGCGAGGCCAGAGGCGGTTATCCTGAGGCTGAAGTGACGTGGCACGATGGGAATGGAAAGCAGCTGATGCAGTCGGAGCCAACGGAATTCCTGAGAACCAGGGAGGGAGTCTGTATTGTGCAGAGCATCCTGACAGCAAGTGTCCATGGCGCGCGCTCTGTTTGCTGTTCTGTTCTCCACAAACTCTTACGCCAGAACACGAGCATCTGTCACAAGCTTCCAGGTAGCCGACTCGCAATTAAATATGAAAGTTATGTTAATACAACATCAGGGTTAGACATAAGAGAAACAAACACGCCACCAAGAACAGGAGAAGGCAAACGTTAAGGTTCTTCCACTACCCTTAACCCAGGCCCATTCCTTAGTAAGGTTCCTTGATCAAACTGAAGTAGTAACTGAAAATATTACCCATGTGCAATATGGGTGAGTCAATGTAACTGAGCACGAAGGTTACAAATTGAAATGGTCCACACGGAAGAACTGAAGTTCACCCCACACTGATGGAATGAATTAGGTAGAGATGAGGTCTTATCATTGGTATCATTTGTCTGGAGATAGTTTTCTCAGAGGCTGAGTTATAACAAGTCAGCTGCTCTGACGGGGCTGGGCGGCAGAGAGGAGGCT